GGAAGGGCCCATATAGAGTAACCGCCCAACCCAGCAAAGTAAACTTCACTATTTCCCCGCTTTGCCAGGGGGGACGTAAGGAAACTGTGCATGTGAATAGATTGAAGCTGGCAACTGTCGACGATGACGTCTTGAACAAATCAGGCCTCACCAACCAGCCCCCTCTAGGGGTAACATTCCCTTCCCAACACCCTATCCCTCCACCAGCAGCTGACCACCCCCCTCAGAACAATCAGGTACCTCACACCCCAAGTAATAATCAGAGAACTCCCCGAGCTACTGCCCCACTTGTACCAGTAATACCTGATCAGATTAGGGCTCATAGATATAACACCAGGTCACAGAACATAGATTAAAGTAACGAGTCTAGGGGCACTTCTAATTGTTGATTCTCCACCCCGGGATCTTGTCTTTCTACTAAGCTACAGAGTCAGCACCGCCCTTGCTCTTCACGGGCCTGGGCGAGGTCTCCCTGACTCCACACAAAAGTCGGAGATGACACCACCACAGCTGCAGCCGACCCCCTACCAGATGAGCTGAGACCAACGCATCCTGACTCATAATGGATGCCCGACACGAGCGGGACACGCAGCGGGCAACCCCGCGGCGAATGGGTGACGCCTTCACGTCGACACTGCAAGCCCCAAGCCCCAGAAACGGGCTTGCATAATGCTGGCCCTCGATCTGGTTGAAGACACTGGGCTGTGTCTCGTCGCTCGCCTGCTGAACGACGAGACACGCACCGAGGCTACGGTCTCACAGCCCACAATACTGACAGACAACATCTATGGGTACCATCAGCCTGAGTAAGCTACGCCATGCAGGACCAGCGCAGCTCCCAGCTCCAGGCAGGGAATCAGGTCGTCCCCTTGGAACCCAGGAGAAAATCCCGAAAACCCGACCTGCAACTTCAGGAGCAGCAAGCAACAGGCAACAAACAACTAGAGGTCCCAGTGGCGCTGCAGACGACAGCTCCCTACGTTTCAGGACCTGTCAACTGGTCCCACGCACTTCCACTCCGGGAATGGATCCACCAGGTACCAGACAAGTAATGGCTGACCTTGGCCCACCCGGGATCTGCCTCGCCGGTGTTTACCACACCATCGGGGACGAAACAGAAGTGACCTGACTACAAGTAGAGGAAGAAACAAGCAAACCCTGGGGGGCCCACCCAGGGAGGGATTCACCACTGTGAGGGTGTGGGACAGGACGGTCAGGGGTCTCGCCGACACTCACGTACGGAGGGCGAACTCTTGTCCGTGGACCCTGCCCTACACGCCATCCAAAGCGATGACACCCCAAGCAGTGGACCGGCTTTGATCCCGGCCGGGAAGGGCGGAAACTCAGATGGAACTAGAAAAATCCATCTGGACCACGACGGAAAATGAGACTCTACAGAGGAAACTCAGATGGGACTAGAAAAATCCATCTGGAATGCGTCAGGAACTGCCGCTCCACACAGAAGTTCAAGTGGAGGAAGTGAGGCACGCGACACACCGCGGCAGACCGCAGGACGGGACAGGAAACGCCAACCACCACATCTACTGCGTCGTCCACCCTGATGCTGGACACCGATTGGTGGAGGTGGTGACGGACCACCCGCCACCCGGGATCTCGACGAATGCTGACGAGTTTTTGTTTTTGCCATTGTATCTTGTAATAATTTCTGCTGCCTTTTTAGTATGTACAAATATTTCTTTTTGTTCACAAGTTGTATTTTGCCCCAACCTTCCCCCCCCCCTTTTCTTTAAGCGGCCATGTATCTTATTATTATATATGTTGTATGTGCTGCCCTGCGCAAGAGTTTAACAGTTGAAGCAACAAGTATGTAAATCTATTCCAGGTTTGAAGATACTAACGCTAGGGAACCTAAGCAGAAATAAGCCAGGGCAAGCAACACCATTGCATAACCTTTCAAACCTCCGACTGTGTACCCTCATTTAACTTCCTTAAGTGACGCTCTCCGACAAGCACCTGCCTAGGCGCTCTCTTTCCCCTTCATATCTACATCCATCTTTCCTTTTCCGTATATTTAGCTAGCCGCTTAAATTTTTAAATATTATCAGACTATGGTAGGATGTGAGGTGTATACTTTGCATCTCAGTAGCTATTTTCGCAGGATGTGCACTCGCTTTGTCACCCACTGTAAACATCCACTGTCTGGCATAGAAGCTTTGATCTTGGCGGGAGGTATAGTGAGCTTTGTCAGATCAAACTAGCGCCAGTAGAAAAACATACACCTATGAGATTGTTGTTTGTAAATGTGAGACTATGTTATCGCCCCAGGGATTATCTCTGCTACCACACGTGATGTTGATGTCTATATGTGACATCAGTCTCTGTGGTGAAGCTTTGGTCTTGGCGGGAGGTGTAATGATTGTTTGTCAGACCAAAGCTTACAGCCTGGAATTATGTCACATGTAACAGCAAGCACTACAGACCTCGTGGCACCATCACATCCCGGATTGACACACCTCAGGTCGACCCTAGGGACTTGACTTCGTCCGCTAATGACGTGAGTTAGCCGGGTGACCTACAAACCGCACCTAACCAAGACACCTGGGCAGGACGGCACCTGCACACAGCCGCCCAGACCTGACACTAGGGAACCAGAATTCTCACCACCACTCGATCAGCTCTACCCGGCGTCATGACCTGAGTAATTCAAGGACCCGCTAATTAGCCAGCACTCCTGTTGACCCGACAACCCGGTCAAGACACACCCAGTTCAGTAGGAGAGGTCACCCCCCGGCTCGACTAATATATAGGGGCTGGAGCTCCTCTCACGAGAGAGAGTGTCTGTAACCAGGAAGGGCCAGCTACCAGGTCCCCGAGTCCCGCTCGAGAGAAGACCGCCATTAAGTGTGCCGAAGTCTCAGCCCGGGTCCATCGACAAAGTGCTGTCAACTCCACGTGTAACAGTAAGTGCTGGCTGTGTAGTCTGTGGAAGTGCAGTGATCCCGAACCTCCCCAACGATCGACTTAGTGAAGTGCCCATTCTAGTTGTGAGGTTAGGTTATACGAGAATACCATAGTCTATCATAAATTGTGTACGAACCCCCCTATTAATCCCCCCTATTGAACTAGTAAAATAAAGCTGTAACACGCATTGGTGTTTTATATACTACACTTGTACTGTGCCTGTGTTAATATACAGTGTTGACATCACACCCTCGAGACACGCTACCATTTCCTCTCGCTATAATACTCTACTACTATAAGCTCCTAACTTACCTCTTCATGTGAGATTTTGTCTCATTACACCGAGGTGGCCCTTGGGGCGGCCATCCTCGTTACACGAGGGGCAACCATTATTGTGTATGAGCATAACAGTGCTTATATGTGACTGTGTATCAGGTTGTAGGGTGCGTGAGGAGTGGTGACTGTGCTTTTCGAGTGAATGCTTTGCCTGGTGGTGCTTGCAGTGAGGTCCACACAGACATGCACATCAATACCCTCCCTCACTGGTCACTGGAGGCAGCATGCATGTCCAGCAGCAGGTGTTGCGAGGACTGAACACCTGCTGATCCGTGACAGGTGTTGGGGGGGGGGGGACGTCAGCTTGTACACTCCCTCACTCCATCCAGGGACTATTTTAAGGAATTTTTACAAGTGGGTTATATTTAAAAAGTCATACAATACTTACATATATTTATTGTGGTTCATTTGCAACAACATTGTGATCTATACCATCTCGTAAAACTGAAAGACACAGTTTAATGAAGATGTATAAATCATGAGCATTTTATACAATACAGTGACTGCCACACTGAGGAGATGCAGACTAAATGATGCTTTAAATATTATTAATGTATTTAATTATTGGAAGGATCATTAATTAACACTAATTACAGGAATTTTAAAATTATGAACCCAGATCCTTAACCAACAAAGAAAGGAGTTTCCTCCTTAATGTGAAATTTTAACCAAATCTATGTTATGACCTCTTTTGCCGGAACACATGGTAATATGTCTGGCATTTCCATGGTGACAAATGTGACCAAACTAAAACAACCTATCAGGTGAAAATAGCTTACTAAAATGAGGTTATGTGACCAAGATGTTCACGAAGGCATTCTCAATAACCAAACAACACAGAGAGAAGATCTATTTTGTTTTTCTTAAAGTGTATCATAATATTTCCACAACTTTCAATAACTGTTTCTTGAATTCCATGAATTCCCTGGCCTAGAATTCCTAAATAGAATGTCTAGGACTTTCCAGGTGTGAACTGTCTATGTAGAGCACGATGTGTTGAACCTCTTCTGCCGCACAGTTGGTTTGTGGCATGAGACATACACACGACCAGATGCATATTGCATGGTTTTAGCAGAGTGAACCCTTTACAATCAACATCTTCATGAAGCCATTTGTTTTATAGGTGAAAAATAGACAGAAGTGATAGGGAAAGATCAGTGTGATTTTTTTTAGTCTAAATTCACTGCCAAGTTGAAATATAGCATCAAATTTTAATCACAAGACATATATATAATATTAAGTACATTAGCTGCCCCTCTCTAAGTGCTTACACTATGATTTTTATACAGTATTAAACTTAATATTGACATACTAGAATTATAAAAGAAAAGGTTTAGTTTAGTGGATAAAACTATTTGTGATATAAAGGAGAAAAAGAAGAATGATTCTTTGGCTTAAAAAAGAAAATATGTTTTTCTGTGTTGTGGTACAGTAGTTGGTTCTGAGGCGTCCAAACTTTGAGTGGTTTTATACGTTAATGGCTCGGTAGGTTAGGGATGTCCATTAGTAATTTCTATAATGTGTATGCACTTTTATAAATCAGCATCTGCTAAATAATTTATCTTATTATTTGCTTGATTGTCTACTGAATAAGTTAGTCTCCTCCTTAAATTTATGTTTATCTTTTAAATAAATTTATCAGTGTGTGTGTGAAGCAAGTTAATCTTCCAATTTAATTGATACGAGTACCTGTCAAAGAAGCGTATTTTCTCAGAGTGTCTAAAACTTTTTCATTGTTGCAGGGTTGCTACGGTAGACTGATGCAGTGGGTGGAGAACCACGTCAACCTGCTCATGGGGATCGGCATAGGTGTGGGCCTCTTTGAACTTCTCTCGATGGTGTTTGCCTTCTGTCTGTGTTCCTCTCTAAATCACAAGATCAAGTGACGCCAGCAACAACACAAGCTCAGCACTGACTAGCAAGGGACATAATAGTGTGCAGTCGACCATCTAGACAGTGTCTGAGAACACTGTAGAACTATGAGAGGACAAAGGAAAAGAACTTGATGTTATGCAAGTTCTGGGAAAGGGGTGAATGAGATCATATCAATGAAAGAAGACAGTGTTCGACAATAATCCTGATAGAACTGTTCTTTGTGTGTGTGTTACTGCAGTATATTCATTCTAGCTCTTAAATTACAAAGACAAAAAATATACCAAAGGTTTCATTTTTGAAAAGTTAAGCTGTGAAAATAGACACATAAAATTTTTAAAGTAATACAGTATATAAAAGTGGATTATATTTTCCTGTGCGTGAGTCAAATTTACACCGGCCTTCCCAGAAACACGACATATCGTCATAGCTTTCATGTCAACCAAGAAGCAGACAGATTCAGGCTTGTTACCGAGGTAGAGCGCCAGAGAATTAAGTCTCTCCCTCACATTTCTTCTTGTCCCAGATTTATCCTCTTCAGATTTTCATTTCCTCAGTCTTTCTTATCCATATATCTAACTTCCTCCTGTATAACCCTATTTTGTAATCCTCTTACCCTGTTATACAATTTTTCCTAGGTCTCATTTCTTGCCTAACAATTTCTCTTTCCATTCTCCGTTACATCCCGTTTTGTTATTTTCCTAATCATTCCTCGGTCCCTATGATTTTTTTCCCCCTCAAATGTCTGTATTATTATTCCAACAAATAAATGAAAAACCCAATTTTCCGTCATCACTCAGGCGGTAACAGGACCAAGCTTAGTCACTCAACCCTCTGGACCATCAGTTAGCTAGTTCTCTCTCAAAATCATATGCAGTGCTAGAGGCTAAAGAACAACTAATTAATACAATATAAAATTTTTAAGGCAAGTTATATTACCATGATGTTGTATATTCAAAAATGGGCCATCTAGTATTCTTCAAGAGGGTAAAACATGCTGATTTTTTTTACGGATATAAACTGCGTTAAAATTTTTAAGAAATTGTGATTTCTATTCCAAAAGGATAGATAATATTTCAGTGACTAGAGAAAGAAATACAAATCAAGGTGTATGTATACAGAGAAGGGTGAGACCAAGTCCACAATGGTCAGGTATTAGGTAATGACCCTATTAATCTTTAACTAGCACACAACGGTTGGTGGTCAGGTCAGATGGTCAGGTGGCCCGGCCTTCTCACCTGGTCACAAATCTTCTTAATTACAAAATTGTCCAGCTTGTACATGCCGTTACTCAAATTCATGTTGAATGCTTCGGTATGTTTAATAAGACTAGATTCTATGATGTTCCCTACTGTCAATTGAATTACAAGGTAATATTGAGGAGGCATTATCCCAGTCAATGCAATGCTTGTTATCCCTCAAATGAACAAACAGAGCATTGGATTCCTGGCCTGTCCTAACACTGTATTTATGTTGTTTAAGTTTAGTTACAAGATCTTTTACCTGTCTGGCCTAAGTAAAACATATTACATTCCTTGCAAGGAACTTTATAAATGCAACCAATTGTGTTGTTGGGGGAGTTCTTGATTAACATTTGTTTAACAGTGCATGAGTTTTTAAATGTCACATTGACGTTCCAGGTTTTTAGCTGTGTAGGAATGTGTGAGAAATTTTTGTGAAATGGTAATATTAAGATATTCTTATGGTCATGGGTGGGCTTGGGGTCAGTTCTATAAAAAGTTTTCTTAGTAATGTTTAAGCATTTGTCTATGAAAGATCTAGGGTATTTAAGGTTTGAGCCAATATTATATATATATTTGTATTCCTCATCGATGAATTCCGGACTGCAAATTCTCAAGGCACGTAAAACCATTGTTGAAAATACTGACTGTTTGACTTTATTATGGTGGGCAGAATAATAATGAATGTATGAACACACATTAGTTGGTTTTCTATAAATACTGAACTTAAAAGTGTTACCTATTCTGTGTATCAGACAGTCTAGGAATGGCAATTTACAGTCTTGCTCTAATTCCACAGTGAATTTGATCGAGGGAGGCTAAGTTGTTAAGTTGTGGTAGGAAAGCTTTTAGGTCCTCATTACATGGCCAGAGACATAATACATCATCAACATATCTAAACCAGACTGCTGAGGGTGGTAAAATATTACTTAATAGTTTCTTTTCAAAGAATTCCATATATAGGTTGCTTAATACAGGTGAGAGTGGATTACCCATTGCCATACCAAATTTTTGAGCATAATATTCCCCATTGAATTCGAATTTGCAATCCTTAATACATAGTTTGATGAGTTCGATGAAGTCGTCTTTCGAGACGGGCAGTGAAATGTTATCCAGGGAATCTATGAGGAACTCTAGTAAATCATCAACTGGGACCTTTGTAAAGAGTGACGTTACATCAAAGCTGACCAGTTTAAAATCATGATTAATGTGTAAGTTATTGAGTTTATCAACCAGATCCATATTATTCTTGATATTGGAGTTAGAAATGTTGCCAACTAGGGGATTTAGTAAAGAAACTAACCATTTAGATAGTTTATAAGAGATTGACCCAACTGAGCTAATGATGGGTCTTGCTGGGTTATTGGGCTTGTGGGTCTTGATTACACCGTACATGTATGGCAGTGGAGGGGACGTTGAAGTAAGATGTTTAATGAGCGTAGCTTTGCCTCTCAATAGGGACTTCAGTTTTTTGTTGAACTGGGTGTTGACAGTGTTGAGAGGATTATTTATAAGTTTAGAATATGTTGTGGTATCACATAAGAGGCACTCCTTATTAGAAATAGTGATTGGACTAAGGATGCCAATAACAACTGTGTAGTGAATCTCTCCTCGAAACAACTAGACAATGATACCTTGTGTGCCCTCGGCTATGGTTTAAGTTTTGATGGTTCTAACAAGGGAGTCGACAGTGTTGACATAGCCAGAGCATTTTGCAATTTGGAGAAATTCAGTAATTTGACAAGTGAAGAAGTGAACATGTGTAAAGGTGTCGTGTATGCATCTATGTCCAAGCCTTGTGTTCCAAACTGTCCAGAAAGATTCACCAAAGCAATCCAAGCCCTTAAGAAAAATAAGGATCTACATGTCACTAAAGCAGATAAAGCCAACACAGTAGTGATCTTAAACAAAGATGACTATATCTCTAAAATGAATGACCTCTTATGTGATACCACAACATATTCTAAACTTATAACTAATCCTCTCAACACTGTCAACACCCAGTTCAACAAAAAACTGAAGTCCCTATTGAAAGGCAAAGCTACGCTCATTAAACATCTTACTTCAACGTCCCCTCCACTGCCATACATGTACGGTGTAATCAAGACCCACAAACCCAATAACCCAGCAAGACCCATCATTAGCTCAGTTGGGTCAATCTCTTATAAACTATCTAAATGGTTAGTTTCTTTACTAAATCCCCTAGTTGGCAACATTTCTAACTCCAATATCAAGAATAATATGGATCTGGTTGATAAACTCAATAACTTACACATTAATCATGATTTTAAACTGGTCAGCTTTGATGTAACATCACTCTTTACAAAGGTCCCAGTTGATGATTTACTAGAGTTCCTCATAGATTCCCTGGATAACATTTCACTGCCCGTCTCGAAAGACGACTTCATCGAACTCATCAAACTATGTATTAAGGATTGCAAATTCGAATTCAATGGGGAATATTATGCTCAAAAATTTGGTATGGCAATGGGTAATCCACTCTCACCAGTATTAAGCAACCTATATATGGAATTCTGATAACCACAAGGAAAGAAGAAAACACGAAGTTCCCAAGCGCTTTTGTGTAATTCACATCTTCAGGGGTGAGTACAGACCCCTGAAGATGTGAATTATACGAAAGCGCTTGGGAACTTCGTGTTTTCTTCTTTCCTTGTGGTTATCAGCATATACCTAGATCACGCGAACCTACAGTGATTTACTTGCACACATATATATATATATATATATATATATATATATATATATATATATATATATATATATATATATATATATATATATATGCTGATAACCACAAGGAAAGAAGAAAACACCAAGTTCCCAAGCGCTTTCGTGTAATTCACATCTTCAGGGGTGAGTACAGACTAGAGAGAGTAACACAAATCAAGGTGTATATATACAGAGGAGGGTGAGACCAGGTCCACAATGGTCAGGTATTAGGTAATGACTTTTTATAGAACTGACCCCAAGCCCACCCATGACCATAAGAATATCTTAATATTACCATTTCACAAAAATTTCTCACACATTCCTGCACAGCTAAAAACCTGGAACGTCAATGTGGCATTTAAAAACTCATGCACTGTTAAACAAATGTTAATCAAGAACTCCCCAACAACACAATTGGTTGCATTTATAAAGTTCCTTGCAAGGAATGTAATATGTTTTACTTAGGCCAGACAGGTAAAGATCTTGCAACTAGAATTAAACAACACAAATACAGTGTTAGGACAGGCCAGGAATCCAATGCTCTGTTTGTTCATTTGAGGGATAACAAGCATTGCATTGACTGGGATAATGCCTCCTCAATATTACCATGTAAGTCAATTGACAGTAGGAACATCATAGAATCTAGTCTTATCAAACATACCGAAGCATCCAACATGAATTTGAGTAACGGCATGTACAAGCTGGACAATTTTGTAATTAAGAAGATTTGTGATCAGGTGAGAAGGCCGGGTCACTTGACCATCTGACCTGACCACCAACCGTTGTGTGCTATTTAAAGATTAGTAGGGTCATTGCCTAATACCTGACCATTGTGGACCTGGTCACACCCTCCTCTGTATATATACACCTTGATTTGTATTACTCTCTCTAGTCTGTACTCACCCCTGAAGATGTGAATTACACGAAAGCGCTTGGGAACTTCGTGTTTTCTTCCTTCCTTGTGGTTATCAGCATATATATATATATATATATATATATATATATATATATATATATATATATATATATATATATATATATATATATATATAATATATATATATATATACCTGTATGTGTGTGTGTGTGTGTGAACGGTGATGAATAGGCTTAGGATAATTATGCATTTAAAAATGGCTAAATATGCACTTAAATATGCACTTTAAAATAAGTTAATAAATAATAACTACTAAGTTAATAACTCCTTTTCTGAACATTTTTTCAGTGAATTTACTTTCCCAGACAGGATGTCGCCGAAGTAGGATTTTTCAAAGAAGAATTAAATAAAAAAAACAATATACTGACATAAAGTAATTTAATAAACAATTCTGGAAAAGTTTTCCTTTTAAGAAAATAGAAGAACAAAAGTGTCAGGAGGGAACTAATGGAGCCCGTGCATCTATATCCTGCCTGGCTGAACACGAACCCATCACGTACAGTTCATGTCCACTGACCAGCCGGCCTAGCTAACCACAGCCTGATGTTGAGCTATATAAACGTCACTTAAGTATGTTCCTTTTGGATATTATGACGCTAAAACAAAATCGCGTATTTTCGATTTTGTATTAGTGCAATAAAATGGACTGTTATATTTCAAATATCAGTAATTTCTGCCCCAGCGTTGCTTGTATGCTCGCGAATTTTTGGCCCCTTGAGGTTGAAGAATGTTTTATAATATTTTGGAATTTTCCAAATACATGCCTTATAAAACAAAACATTACGAATATGCACTTTAGCTCAAAAATGGCTTAAGTATGCATTTGCATATGCACATATGCAAATGCATAATTATCCTAAGCCTAGTGATGAATTTACATAATTTATCCCATCCCAGATATATGTACCTGTAGTATATTGCAAGGTGATGGAGAAACTT